AAGTGGAGGGTCGGAGAAGGAGAGGAAGATCCCCAGCAAGATGGATTGGCACAATGGCAGTAACAATGAGCTCAAATGTAGCAATGATTGTGAGGTTCACGCAGGACCGGGTTGTGTTTTGTTCTGTTGGGTGTAGGTAGGGTCAACTCGATGGCAACTAACAACGACAACAACAAAAGTGTGATCCAATCCCATGGAAAAGAAACTGAGATCAGAAGTGACCAGTTTGTCATCAAAGTTGGAAATAACAGCAGGCTGCTGCATGTCCTAGTTGATTATTTCCTCCTCTTGACTGAAGAGGAGGCAGGGTTGGTAAATAATCTCAACTCCATCAATTCCTGGAGCCTTGTTTTCCGCAAGTGCCTTCAGTGTAGCGTGGACTTCTTCCTTCAACTCCATTGGTTTTTGGTCATATGCCACCCATATGCTACCACTTGAAATGGATGAACATTAACCAATTCTTTTTGGTGCAGTGACTCTGTGTATTCCATCTTCTTCTGGTGCTTTCTGCATAGTTCAATATGATGGAGCAGGAAAAGCCAGCATAGAAGTCAGGCCTGAATACCGTTGTTACTGTTAGCTGTCATTGCTTAAGTGGTCAGTATGAGCTAGGTGTCAAGTGGTTGGTTACATGTACATCATCCCATTATTAGGTAGATGTCCTGCCTATATTATAGATGAGAAAACCAAAACACAAAGGCTCAAGAATTTGCCTTAGGCCACACAATTTTATGTACTATAGAGAGAGGATTCGAAACCAAGTTTGAGCTTGCAAACATACACTCTTATTCTAGGTGTACTGAACCCTCCTGGATCCCTTCAGAACCAAGACAGATGTACATGTGCCTGTTTCTGCCCATGGGAGTGACTAAGAGGATAGATGTTGCTGTCAGACTGGTGTTTGATGCCTGGCTTTGCCATCTACATATCCAGGGTGTGTCCCTGGCCAGATCTATTCAAACCTCGAAAATGGAAAATGAGCTAAAGCACTCCCAGGACTTGGCCCATGGTTGGTGCTCAACACTAACTTTTGGGACCATCTGTCTATCATATTAACTATCTCACTTGGTGGTGATGGCAGAACATCTCTATTAGACTGTGACCTTCCTGTGGGCTGCTGTCAGGCTCTGTCCTGATGCCGTAGATGGAGACAGATCTTGGCAGAGCACTGGCTCCTAAATGTTTGTGTGAATATGGGCAGGCCACTCACTCTAACTTGGCTCTCATGGGTTAAATGGAAAAGTTAGTCCTGTCACCTATCAGGGTGTGAACACCACCAAAAGAGATGCCTAGACATGGCGTGAACTTCCTTGGTAAATGCTATGAAAAGATCCTCAAGACAAAGGACAGCAAAGATTACCATTGTTTCTAGGTAATGATGAGTGTTTGTCTTTTATTTCTCTTCCCATTCCAAGTAAGACACAGACCCAGGAACTGAGTGTCAAGCCACTTTCTGGCCATTAATCTCTAAGAGCCCATCAGGACCATTTGCATTAGCCCATCTTCAAAAACCCCAGCTGGTCCCCAGTGGACCAGAATTAGGGCTTGGGAAACAGTACCATTGTAGCCAGTTGGAAGCTAAAGCACCATGGTGTCCAAACACCCTCTAAGATCAGACTCTGTAATGTGCCAATTGTGCCCTAGCCAAGCCTTCTGTTGGGCTGTCAGTCATGGATGTCACCACTGGAGAGGGACACTGGAAATAGTGCCTCCTATTGATGTGAGATCAGGTGTTGGCCAAGGTGCCTTGGCTAGAGAGTTCCTCCACCTATCCCCACTTTGCCCCTGCAGCCCAAATTCCCAGGTGGGGTTGAAAAGAGTTTAGATGGGGCCTGGGTGAACACTGAACTTGGATGGCTGGCAGAGGCCAAGTGTGAGTGTGCATCTGTGGTAGATGGGGGTGGGGGCGAGAATTTTAAAGACAGACTGCTCCCGCCCCTCCATCCCCAACACACAGACTGTCCTCAGTGATGACCACGCAGCTTTCTTAATGGAATAAATCGCTGAACTTGGTACATTTCAAGCACTTTAGCCTTCTAGGACACCAGACTGCTGATGAAAAGCCATCCTCCATGGGCGCCATCTTAATGAGGCCAAATTTCATATGCTTGCAAACTTTCCCCCTGCCTCCTGCTGTACTGCAGCCTGCACCCACCCCTCAATAAAAGGTTGCATCAGAGTGAGAGAGAGAGAGATATTTCCATAATTTATAGTATGGGCATTTCACTGGGGACAAGCGTTAATCTGTACTTACCGATACATTTAAGAAAATGCATCCTCCCGCAAGCCTGCACCATTTATGACTCTTGGCACAAACCGCAATACTCAGTCTTCAATTAAGGGACACCTTAGGGTTCATTATCACACAATCGCTCCCTGTGAACCATGCCAAATGCTGTTTTGGCACAGAGCTTGGAAGATGAATTAGAAGGAAGTCTTCTCTGTAATGCCCTCTCCCTAATTCCCATTACCATCATCAGCGTTTATGCCCTCCTCTTGCTCCGCTCCCTCCCCCTCCTTTCCAAGTGGCTTTTACTATTCAATTTCTCAATGTCAGACTCGATTCTCTAGAGGTGTAGTTAAAGATGCCACATCTCCTTTTTGTCTTCCGGCTCTCAACAGGCCGCGGAAGGGCTGCAGATGGGCTGCTCTCCACACCCATTTTTGGCCTAAAGGAGCCACAGATGCTTTTTTCCTCTCCTTTTAGAGCTCAGAGTAGAAAAAAAGAAAAGCAACCAGAATTGGAAACACACACACCATGAGCCTGAAGGAGAGTTCCAAACAGGACAGAAACAAAACCACAGACCTTAATGAAGAGATGACGCACGTGTAACAGGCTCAGATCTTAAAGCGGCGAACTGTGTTCAAGACACTTGCTTCAATCAGTGAAAGAGAGGGGAAGGCTGATGTTTCGTTTCCAAGTTTTCTCCAGTCCAATAACTGCAGAGAGATGATGTGACCGGAAACTGCAAAACCTTCTGTGTCTTAAAGCCATGTGGAAGGACAACTCCTTTTTTGTTCTGAATGAAAACCAAATTAAATGGATGTACTTGCTGCCACTCTCCAGCTCTTCTGGCAACCTGGGTGGCATGCCCCTCCCCCCACTGCTGGTGAAGAGAAGTCACCACCATCCATCCACAGCCTGAATGCTGGGGACAGGGAAGGAGCTCGGTCATAGCCCAATGCTGCCAGAGAAATAGGGACAAGGCAACTTTGGAAAAAAGCAGCAGCCAAAAAAACCCCAAGGCCAAGACCAGAAGACATTTGTTGTTGTCCTTTGTCAAGTGTTCTCAAGTTGGTTATGACTCAAAGCAACCCTGTATAGGGTTTCCGAGGAGCGGCTAGTGGGTTTGGACCGCTGTCCTTATAATTAGCAGTCCAGAGCTTATCCTATGGAGTCACACCAGGACCTTTAGGTCTTCTTCATTTCTAGGGCAAGTGTGTGTGCTGGAGACAGGTGTTGGCGGGGGTTGTGAAGGGAAGTGTGTGTGCGTGTGGGTGTGTGCTGACTCAATTACATGGAAGTATGCCTATGACTCTGTAGAGCTGATAGCCACCGCTGCCTATGACCCCTTCTGTGAATCATCCAGCTCCACTTCCAATGACTGTTGCCACATGAGGACATTCGTTACTGACTTCTCTGTGTCTCGTCACTTCAAGAGAGGCTTAGATGTGACAGGCTCATTGTAACCAATGCTCTAAAGTCAGACTGTCAAATCACACAAAACCATTAAATAAAATTAGCTTAATGAAGCAGCCAAGAATCCAGGTTGTGCATCAAGTCGGGCTAATGCAGTGCAAGACTAGGAGCTGCGAGAACCCTCTGTCTCTTTCCATTTCAGGTGGCAACAGGCAGAGGGCAAAGGAAGGAACAAGTGAAGGCAAAGCAAACAGACGAAAAATACTTCGCCCACAAGATGGCTTGTGGAAATTTTATTATATAGAGTGTAAAATAAATTGTCAGTCAAATAAAAAGAACACTTTTTTTTTAAAACAACATGCATAACATCTTTCAAATGCCTTTTTTAATAGTTAGACATTTCAAGCATTATAAGGAAAATAAAGAGAAAAAACCAGAAACTGTAACTTCAGTACATTTCAAACGGAATGTCCCTCAGGTCAATTAAAAATGCAAGAAAAAATAGCTTCAATTCCGTTTTTTGTTTTTTTTTGTTTTTTCCTTTAAAAATACATGTTATCTGTACAAGATACACTACAGTAAACATTGAAAATCATTATTATCCCTTTTATTAAATCAAAATTATTTAATTCATACTGTGGTTAATACTAGATTTACTTATTCATCTAGTTAATTTGACAAATATTAAGAAAATATTTAAAAGAAAAAAGCAAAAAACACCTTGGAATTAAAAAATAGTTACTACATTTTTATACGGTTTAATGTTCCACAGTGTTTGTTAAAAGTTATATCGAATTTCTTTTTAATATTAAAAATAACAGTATTTATATTTCTGAGAGAATAGAGAAAGGTTTTTTTGTTTTGTTTTTAAAACAAGCTTGGAGGTCTTAGATACACAATTGCAATGGGTGATGGAGACACGAAAAAACTGTATGCTAAAAACATGAACACATTTTATATTAGCCCTCTACAACTCTAGAAATTATACAAACCCTACAAAATGCCCCGCCCAATTCCTGTTGGACAGCAATACAATTATCTGTCTCAGTTCAGAATTCACATAATTAATTACAATACATAATAGTTCAGTTTTAAAAAAATGCAATAAAACCAGGCAGCCAAGATACAAGAAATTAGAAGTAAAACATTTAATGAATTTACACATTTAGAATATTTAAATACTGTTTAAAATTTTTTTAAAAAGGATTTGTTACATACCACACCTAAGACTTCCAAGCCACCTTCTGTTGCAACAGAAAAAGAAAACAAACAAACAAAAAAAAAACAAAAATGGTAAATAAAAAGACACTCAAAAACAAAACAAAACAAAAACCACCATGTTGAAATGTCACTGCTCTGAGGTACGTTCTGGTGCCTGAATTTGCACAGGTATTGCTCCAAAAAGAATCTCAGAGCTCACACATTTAAAGTAACAACAAAACTAATGAAACAAGATTATCAGCAATTTTTAGTAGCTAATTTTTCCCAATTTTTAGAAAAATTCTGTTAATCTAAATATAGTGTTTCACAGAACAAAACAAAGGTTCTTCATCAAAAGGTTTGCAAATCTAAAAACCTCTGTTACAAATAGGTTTTCTTTCACAATGATTTCAAGGGGGAAAACGGCCGCAAGAACCTTGTTCTACTGCTCCTGTGGAAGGAAGGGAAAGGAGAGCGGTTAGTCTGGGAGGGCCAATTCTCAAGTCCTTATGTCTGCGGCTTCCATTGGTGGGAGGTGACAGGTCACCCTGTTTCCCCTCTGGCTGTACAACAGGCGCCAACACACACAGACCAGTCAATGTCTAAGCACCTTCCCCGGGTCTCCTGTCAAGGACCTAGATCAGACAAAACCTCTTTCTAGCCATGAAGTCCTGAGGATACCAGGAAGGAGTGGGGGAGCAAGCGAGTGATACCTCTCCTCAGTCACTCACTAGCCAGGACACCTGTTCCCATGGGTTTCCCAACATAATCAACTTGGTGGTGAGATGCCCAACCAGCTTTTGGTCTAAGGCCTGAGAGGACTGGTCACCCTAAATCATGTTATCTAGAATATACCCTTCAGGAGCTCACTTCCCCACTTGACTAGGACCGCCTCTGTATGAACAGGGTTGTTGTTGTTGTTGTTGTTAAGTGCCATCGAGTCGGTTCCGACCCATAGCGACCCTGTACAGGGTTTCCGAGGGTGTAAATCTTTAGTGGTGGTGATAAAAGCCTCTGAATTTATGTGTGGGTCAAAGAAGATGGGGCCCTGCCCAACCCTCAGAGGGTGTGCACTAACCCTCTTCTTGCCTCTCATGGCTGATCAAGGGCAAAGGTGACAGCTTGGCCACATCACCATCTCAACAACAGTTGCTGAGAAGCGCCTTCCACAGTCCCTACAAATACCACACAGTGTCAAAGTTGTCCAGTCATCTATGCCTGGCACTCTTAATTGACAGCTAGAAAAACGGAAGCCCAGAGGGAGAAAAAGAGTCCACTTAGCACCAAGGTCCTGGATTGGAGGGAAGATTAGGCACTTCCTTGAAGGAGCTGCCAAACGAATTCCCTATCCTACTTGGCTTAAACTGTTCCTCTCTGGAGCTAGGAGGGGGAAGTGAGCTGGTTCTCAGTGCTGAGCCTGAGCATTCTCTGTAGTGCAGTGCTCTTCCCTGGGTCAGGCAAACACAGAAGGATTGAAAGAAGGGGGTTAGGGGCTGGTCTGGGAAGTACCAGTAGTGTTGGTGATTGGCTACAGACCTGGCTGTGGGCCTGAGCTTGCCCTAGTGTCTGCCCGTAGAAAGCAACCTGCTGTCTGTAATACTCTGCCCAAGCCATTGTGTAGTCCGGTGGGGAGCTGGTCTGAGGAGCAGCACTGGCAGCATGACCTGAGAGACAAAGGAAGAAATGTGGGTTAGTGGAAGCAGGGATACCATGGAGGGGAGGACACTGTCAGCTTGGCGGATCCTGGAACAAATGCCAGGTACTCCTTCTGGACACTAACGGGAAGAACATGGTGGTAGCGAGACCAGTGTGGACGAGTGCTGTTGTAGTAATGCTGGCCTCTTTGGCATTGCTAAAGTGCTGTCCTGCCTATGACATTCGATCCTGGCTCAGTTCTCAGGAAACCTGCACATTTTATCTGCCCTCTGCAGCATCATGTTCTGCATCTGTCTGCTTGCCCCCATCAGTTCCCGGTGCCGGACAACAAAGAAAGAACTGGAGTGTCCAGCTTGTCTGTGTGCCCGTGCACAGACACCATGGTATTCAAAGCCCTTGGAGAGCTTGAAATAAACTGAGGCTGATCTGGGTCTGTGAACCTGGATTTGAGAGATCTGGGAAAGACTGAAATTTGACCTTATATAACAGGTCCTTCCCCACAATGATGACATTCCTCCTGGCCAGGGTAAGCGCTTCTTTGACAACCCTTTGACCTGAGTGCTTTCAACCAGCAAGTAACATCATTTAGACTCAAAATACATGAATGATCTTTTCAAAGAATACTGAGATTGTCTAATGCAGAGGTTTTGGAATACAAATAAGGGACTCAGTACTTATGAGTCATCAGAAATATTTTTTTGGTTTTAGTGGTAGTTTTTTTTCCTTTTTCTGTAAGACTGGATTAGTCTCTTTCTGATAGCTTTTTTTATTTTTTTTGTTACACAGGGCTTACTTATGAAGGTAAAATATACAACTCAATACCAATTTCAATTTTAAGCTTCCATTACCATCTTTTTTCTCTTTTATCTGCTCTGAAACTGGTCACCAAGATAGGCAGCAGCAAGACAAAGCCAGAGAACAAGATATACCCAGGTGACCCGAGTCCTGGTAAAGCCATGCCCAACGGGCCTGGAACTTGGTCTATGGACCACACAGGAATCATGCAGTTCCAAAAGAGGAGCCACCTCCACTGAGCCCCAATGCACACATCCGGCACCACATCCCTTCTCAGCTCTTTGGAGTCCAGTCACGGGGAGAGCAGAGAGTAAGATAGGATGACAAGCTTTGGCCAGGGCAGAGACGCATCCCTGTGGTCAGCAACTACACTAGGCCTTCTCTGACAGATAGATGAGGAGAGAGTGAAACACAGTTAGGTATTGAGAACAAGTCACATGGGGAAAAGGTTAAAAAACAAAAGGATGCCAATGAATCATCAACAAGTCAAGTCTACAGAACGAGGGGCTCTGTGACTAGGAAGCTGCTTGTTAAGGAGGCCCATGCACTCACTCTGTTTTTTGTAATAGTCTTCCCAGGCCTTGCTGTAGTCAGGCTGGCTGCTCTGCGGCTGGCTCTGCTGGCCTGTGCGAAGAACACAAAAGCAGTCAGGCCTTCCGGGCTTCCTCACAGCCTCAGTCCCCAGGACCTACTCCCTGCACTCGTTCCAGCTTCAACAGAGGCCCACACAGCACCCCAGGTTCTGTGACCTGTAAAGAAGGTGGCAGCAGGCTGGCCTCAGGAGAAGGCAACATCTCAACAAAAAAGGGGTCTCCACCCAGACACTGGATGATGGGGAGGGGTATAACCAAGATCCTGGCCTTGCTGACAGAAAATGGGAGACGTCCTAAGGCTGCGATATCAGTGGAAGAGCCTGACCTGAGGGCGCCCTGAGGCCAGAATGACTGATTTTTAGGCTCCTTGGATCTAGCCTGCAAACAGGACAAAGAATCCACAGTGCTCAGACAACACTCTCACCCTGGCCTTTCTGTTCAAAGGCTGAGGTTTTACTTTGGACAAGCAAAAATGGTATGAAACAGGGAAGGAAACTGTCCAGAGTCTGTAAAGAAGATGATAAAAGGAAGACAATGCACACATGATGGTTGTTATGTCACTGAGTCAGTTCCAACGCACAATGACCCTGTAAAGGGTTTCCAAGAGCGGCTGGTGTGTTTGAACTGCTGACCTTGTGGTGACAGGTGGTGGTGGTATACTCTGAAGTCTGTTCCGACTCATAGCAACTCTGTATAGGGATTCCAAGACTGTAAATCTTTACAGGAGCAGAGAGCCTCATCTTTCTCCCATGAAACGGCTGCTATATTCTCCCAGTATGCTACTAGGGTTCCTTTGCAACTAGCAATAAGGGCTTATCTTATAGCACCACACCAAGACATGTACGCATGGCAGAAGGGATGAAAAATCATGGGCAGCACTTGATTGTAATATGGCCCCAAGCCTTTTTGGGCAGAAAGGGAAAAGAGGTTGTGTTGGGATTATTTAAACTCTTCCTTACTTGCATAGTCCTGGGACATTCCCTATACTGGGTTGGCTTAGAGCAGTAAAGATGTGTGTGTGTGCGTGTGGGGGCAGACTCAGTGTGTGTATGTATGGGGGATATCCTGCCCAGAGGCATAAATGAGGGTTAAAAGATTTGACCAGAGCAATAAGCCAGGACCTTTCTTTCTGTAGAGGTCAGGGCTGGTTGTGTGTGTCCACCTGCTAAGGCCCACAAAAGGCTCCTTTCAATGTCTTTTCTTCTATTAGAATTATAGTCCGGCAGCAGGCGGGCAGAATGTGCTACTAATACAGCTTACAGTAAAATGTTTTCCCTGAGAGTAAATTGACTGAAGATTGAGAAGGAACGTGGACAAGAGGACAATCATTACATTTAAATGCATGTGGGACTGGGAAAAGGAGTAAGGGTTAGTAAAAACAGGGAGAAGACACCCTTGGCCTCTTCCCCTGGAACAGAATGCTCAAGTCTGAATGACCTGGTTTTTGTAGAAAGTTAGGAAACATTTGGGCAACATAAACTCTTCCATCAGATATGGAGGGTGTGGACAAGCAGGACTTTCCTTCCAAATAGGATTCCACTGACCTAAACTACCCAAACAAAGTCCAGCAATGCAAAATGAAGGCTTGCAAGCAGTGGCAAGAAAAACAGACCTTTACTTTCTTTCATTCTTCCTCCCATGTCCCTGCCAGGCAATAGCAACTGCCCTGCATCCTTTTCACCCAGAGGCCCCTGTAAAACCATGCTCCCAGGGGTCAGCTCCCCCTTTCAAGGAGATAAGGAGAAGGGCATGTCTTCTCTTCTCTCTCTCGCCTTTACACAAAGGCACACATCCCTAAGAGTGCGGGGCTTCTCAAAGGTCTTTCTCTGTCTTGGTGCAATTGGGCACATGTGACCTTGACTCTGGCCACCTCGATTTTTGGAGTACTTCTTCAGATCAGAATAGTTCTATGAGAAGGCATCTGTGTGAGGCAAGGAGACATGGGAGCAAAGTGAAGCAAGCACTAGAAGAAAGAAAACACACTTGGGAGAGCAGAGAGTAAGATAGGATGACAGATCGGAAGAGCACACGTCTATGAGAAGGCATCTGTGTGAGGCAAGGAGACATGGGAGCAAAGTGAAGCAAGCACTAGAAGAAAGAAAACACACTTGGGCTATGGGGACTAAAGTCACTCGTACAAGGGAACAGCAAAAACTGGTAGAGAGGTGTTCAGGGTAAAATCCTCAAATATTTTGCATGTCTGAAAGTTTCATAATAATGTATTAGAGGGAAAGAGAAAAATATAACCATCTGAATTCAGAGCTTAAAGACACCTTTAAGATGAAACTCAATTCTTTCATTTAACAGATGACAAATGTGGAGTCCTGAAGAAATGGAGAGGTTTGCCTAAGGTTGTAAGCAAGCCCTCGAGACTGCTTGGGGAGCTTCTGTCCAGCCGAAGACTTTTCTGGGGAACCCTGTGGCTGTGCTCCGCTCAATGATGAAGTGGTTAAAAAAAAAACCCTGGAAACTGGGTTCAGTCCCTAACTTGGTCCTATAGCCTAGCATACACTGTGAAGAGAGTAATTTTCATACGTGTTAAAGGATATTTTCTGAACACATAAGAGGCGGGAACTTCAGGTGGGTCAAACCACCTGAGTTTTACAAGCTATGGGCTTGTTTGTGTTTTTGAAGGCGGTGCAAGATCAGCTACACCAGCAATAAAACTGACAAATAATTCCTGAAGCTAATGTTGGAATAGGTTGATCCCACACAAGGACTTCCTCTTTTAGAGCCCATTGTCCTGGGAAGGCCTCATGCAGCCAGGCTGATTCTCTAACTGCTTGCTTTTGGAACAGTCCAGGAGACAGCAAGATCAACTTTCTGAGAAGGTGCTAGAAAAAAGAGGGAAATGGTCATGGAGGTAAGAAGAGGGGAGTAGAGTAAGAAGTGCACAGCAAGCAGGAGACGCTGAGTAGAGCAGAGTGTGACAGGGTAGAGTTCTGGGCTGTAATAGGCCAAGCTCAGGTCACGAGGAAACTCAGCCTGGTCCATCTGGAAAGAACAAAAATGGCAGAAGCCCACAACTCTGAAGGAAAAGAGTAGGTGGGAAAGAAAGGTCTGAGAAGGTGGGCCTGGACAGTCAATTTCTTTCTAGCCTTCTTCAGTGCCTACCCTGGTGCTCCCTCAGTGTAGGGCCTGCTGGTGGCTCTCAGTGGCACATGAAGGGACATCCTGGACCTGTCAGCCAAGGAACGAAGGCATTTCAGGTCCATCACCCAAGGCCTCTGTAAGCCTCAGCTTTTCTGTAGGGGTGTGCCAGTGTTCTCCTCTACCTGAGTCACTTACTTGGGACCTGCTGTGTGGGCTGCTGCCATGCCTGGTAGGTGTTGCCCCAACCCTGCGTCAGGAAGGCAGGAGGACCACTGTGGATGAAAAAAGGGTGAGTTGTTCCAGTCTGGGTTATGTCCCATCTTCTTCCTCACCTGGGTCCACCTCCCACCACGCTCTATCATTGCTCTCTTCACTGCTTACCCACTCCGCCCCAACCACATTATCTTTGCTGTTGGCAGTGGCCAGGGACAACCCGAGTGTTGTCTGTCCACCAAATGAGAACAGCATGGCTAGAGAAGCAGCAGGCCACTTACCTCACAGGGGTGCTGTGGGGGTTTCCATTCACTTTAGCAGCAATGTTTGGGAAGCACCCTGTGCTCCTTGGAGGAAAGGTGCTGTAGGAAGAGGAAAAACATATTTAAAAATGAACCGGAGTCCCAAACAATGGAAAGACTGTTGACAAAATAACCCCTAGCTTCAAGGTGCTGAGCTGCCCTAGGGGATGCTGGTGGTGACCTCTGCCTTCTGGGGAGTCATTTCTCATCAATGGTCAAAGTGGGCTAAGTTCTGGGAAACGAGTCCTCCCCACACCTAGAACTTCCAGCTTTTGGTTGGCAGTCCCTAGAAGTAGCCGAAAGGGGAATGTCTTGGGAAGTGGTGAAATGACTAGTACAAAGGACTCACTTTTGATGAGGTGTAGCAGGTGGCTGGCTGAAGGGGCTCTGTCCAAAGGCTCCAGGTGCTCCAAGACTGGTACCCTGTCATGGACACAGAGAATTTTTACCTGCTGCTGGCTAAGCTTGTGCCCTATGTCAGGCTCGCCCCAAGGCAAACCACAGCTTTTGGGGAGACAGCCCAGTGAAGAATCAAGACAGCCTATGGCACTCACACTAGCCTTCCTTCCCCACAGGGAGTTTCATTTGCCCCATGACTGACCAATTCCACCACATGGCCACTACTGGCACCACCACACTTGCCCTGCCGTGTCACCCTGGGGTAAGGGACCAACCTGCTTGACTCTCCCGTCAATTTAGGCTGGCCCAAGGCTCTTTCTGCCATTCTATGTCCCCTTTGAGGTGAGCAGTGGCCAATCTGTCCTCCATCAACACTCCCTTTCTTTATCTGCTTTGAAGTGCCTGAAACTAAAGCCAGAGTCAATAAAAGCTGTCTGCCAGCCTGGCTGCCAGGGAAATGCCACCAGGAGTCCAGGGCAGTGCTGGGGGAGCCTGCCACCCCAGCTAATCATCTAAGCCTTGAGGGGACATGGTTCTGGGGACTGAGCTCTCCTTGGGGAGTTGTGACAGGACGCTTCCTTCATTGCTTTTGGGCCTGACCCAGGTATTCCTTGGGCCTCTGACCTGTCCCCTCTGCAAGCGCTAATGTGAGGACTGAAGGCCAGGGGTGAGGAAAGGACCTTGTACGTACACCAACTTTCTCATCTATGAGATGTCTGGCCACCTCGATCTGTTGAGGAATTCCCCTGATGGTGAATATTCGCAGATTGGGGTCAGTGTTTGGAGGTGGGTTCCGCTGAAGCTCCACGTGTGCTCCTGACTGCTGATTTATACTTTTGATATTCTCACCCCCTGTAGACAGAACACATGACAGAAAAAGAGGACTTTGGTAAAGGTACTTTTGCACACCAGCCCTAAACTTGAGAAAACAGAAAGATTTTCTATGTACTTGAAAGGGGTCTAACACAAACCTTGTTGTTAAGTGCTGTCGAGTTACCTCCGACTCAAAGCGACCCTATACAGGGTTTCTGGGAAGCAACTGGTGGGTTTGAACCACCGACCTTGTTCAAACAGACCATGCAATTTAGTGCGTTAACTACAGTGCTTCACCATTGTGGTCATTAAGTGCTGTTGAGTCGATTATAATGACCTATATAGGGTTTCTGGAGAGCAGCTGGTGGGTTTGAACTGCTGACCTTGAGCTCAAACTGATCTTGCGGTCCAGTGCATTAACCTGTAGCACCATACCAGGACTCTGCGCCACACCATTTGTTGTTGTTAAGTGCCATAAAGTTGGTTCTGACCCATAGCGATCCTGTATAGGGTTTCTGAGTGGCTGGTGAGCCTGAACTGTTGACCTTGCAGTTCTGAGCGTTAACCTACAGCGCCATAACAGGTATCACACCATAGCACTTTATAATAAAACAAGCTGCCTGAGCAAAGCCCATGGGGTCATGAGCACCAGGAGGCACCTGCATGGTCCTATCCCAGCTTCCTCTCCAGAGGCACCAGGCTGCCTACCAACCTCTTCTGGGTTGAGGCCTGGCCCCTTAGGGAAGCACCTGGCACATGGATTTACACACAATGGAGCTCCCTCGGGGAAGGTCAGTTCACAGTGGCTCCCACCCCAGCTAAAGCCCTCCATCCTCTCAGTCCTGATGGCCCCTAAAGGCAGGAGACAATGGAGCCTTCAGCAGCCATGGTGGGGGCCACCGCACCTCTGCTTTTGCCCTCTTCCTCTCTCCACAGGTCAAACAGACGGCCACTGGCCCAAACAATGCCTTTAATATCCCATGCTGACACTTCTCAAGTCCCTGCCTCTTGTGGGGGACAGTACTAGACAAGGGGTGTGTGGGGGGTGGAGGGGTGTCACATGTCACAGAGGCCTGGGTGGAGCGGGGCTAATGAAAATTTAGTTGGACTCTTTGAAAAACCTGTGAGACTCTCAGTCTCTTAATGAAATCTGTGCAACAAAAGCTCCACCAGAGTCACAATGGTTTGATTCTTCTTTTGAAATTTCACAGAACTTACAGATGAGCTCTCCTCAGCTGGGGAGGGGAGGGGAAGAGCCAGAATACCAGGACACTGTATAGCAGAGCTTTGCAACACTGAAAGACGACAATGTGTGGAAAACCTGCTCCAGGGCAGCAGGGAGCTCTGAAGGATCAACAGCAAATACCAGTGGCTCTCAATGTCACCCATGCCCACCCAAAGTCAAAACAAACTGAAAATGCCATCGAGTCTTTTTACTGTTTATCCACATCCTGTCCTCCCTACTCCCCACTGGTGGGGCAGGAGAACCACTCTGAGGAAGCAGCTCTTGTCAGACTCTACAGGGGTCAGCAAGCAAAAAGTGATGGCTGGTTAGAGCCTCCTTCTGAAGGCAGCCTGATCAGTCATTAGATTTCAGGATGGAGACCAGGAGACTGGTTGAGTGTTCGGACATGGGCTGGGTTAAGTAGTAAGCTTGATTCCATTTTGGAAAGTTTTAAAACCAAGCAAATGAAACAGAGTGTATGCTCAGGTTTTTCTTAATCTACTACAGACTTTAAGAAAACCACCCCACATTTCAGACCCTGCCAATGCAAAGTCTTCTGCAATATGGCTGTGCCTCCAGGTACGGCCCAGGCCCCATCTGGGTCCTGTAACTATGCATATCTCACTCCAAGGCCAAGGGATTTTACTTTCCTTCTGTGAAAAGTGAGGCACTTTGCTCCTAGCTAGGAGCCTTTTTGGGTAGAAGTGATTAGTAAGGAATGAATGTAGACCACTTCTACTCACACTCAACCAACTAACCAATCTGCCCAGTGCCCACTTGGTTCCAAGGCGTAGATTTGGAGGCAAGAGCACAAAAGGGGCGTGAGTCTGGGCCTGAGAACCACAGGGCCAGACAGTCAACACCCTCCCCCACCAAGGCTATCTCTAGCAGGCACTTGCACTAGAAGCCCCCAAACCCCTTCTTCCCCATGCCTTATGTGCATGCTAATAAGGGGAGGCAGGCACCACAAACCCGCATGGGGCCGGAAGGAGTTAATTTAAGTTCATCTTCCTTCAAAATGAGGTCACCAGCTTGGCACACGGTGGCTGTCTATATAGACCCATTCAGCAGCCTGCTCTATTCTTCCACCTGATAGGGGGCAGAAATGACCCACCAGTGCCCCCCACCCCACGTGAAATCGTAAAGCCATTAATCAAACCTGCTAAAAGGCCTGGCTGACAAGAGCAGGGCTGGTCACACTATCTGTCAATATTGCCCTGTTTATCATGGAAATCCGGCAGGGGCCTACAGAGGAGGCTGCAGTGTCTATGGCAGGGCTGGAGCCTGGAGCCTGGAGCCTGGAGCTATGGGAGGGGTGTGTGTGTATGTCTGTGTGCCCACACACCCACAACAGGGTAGGTTCCCTTCTCCTTTTTCAGTTTCACCCTTTCCCAAGAGGTAGCTTACCTGGGAAGGGCATAGGAAGACACTTACCTCCCCAATGAATCTTCTCCTGAGCTTCGGAGCCTACTATTAGCATGCCACCAGGGCCATCAGTCCTTACCTCACTCTGCCGCTCCTTTCCCCTAAGCAATCACTCAGGAAGATGCTATAGAGGGCAGACTAAGGGGCTGCTTGAGCATGAAGAGGGAACTGTCACAGTAAAGACCACAAGGCCTGGCCAGTGTCTACAGCAGGCACACACTCTCCAATAAAAACCTCACCCACAGAAAGGTTTTCATAAGACAAGGGATTTCCTAGACCTGATATTCATCAAGCTACTAGCAGCAACTGGATGTACAGTCATAGCAGTCAAGCTGATGATCTGGGTAGCACATCTGACTTATCAGAGCATTCTGAGAAGCTCACCATATTCATTTTATCAGCACATATATCCTGCCAGACAATTAAAACAAACCCATTTTGTTTTTACCATCCTTAAGAGTCCTGGTGTGGTGCTGTGGGTTAATGCGCCAGACTGCAAAGCTGTATGAACTGCAAGGTCAGTGGTTCAAGATCACCAGCTGCTCCGAGGAAATTCTATACAGGGTAGCTATGGGTCGACATCGACTTGACAGCACTTAACAACAAGAGGTTACTAAATCTCAAAAGACTACATGGATACAGGAGATCAACATTTTGTAAGAGCACAAACTACAGTGTAGACAAGCTGAGCCAATGACACGTTCTGGGTGGTGAGTGAGGGTCAGGAGGAAGTCCCCCTTGCCCAGCAACTAGGACAGACCCGGGAGCATCAGGTTTCTCTGTGTTGATAAAGATGATACCAAATCATGTTCAGTATAATACTAAGTATCCTTCAAATAGTTAAAGATGTTTAATGATCAAATAAATGTGAGACACTCAGGGGAGAAGACTGTATTTTATACCTTCCATATGTTGTCAAATACACAATGTAGGCACAGACCAAACAAAAGCCAATGCCAATGATGGTTCCTGCGGGCAGCACGGCTTCACGGGGTGGCCTGCTTATACCTCACAGAAAAGCTGAGCCCCATAAGCCCAGCTCTCAGCAGCTTTTCTTGGTCCCAGTGCTAGCCAGATGAATTGTTAATGACAGTCTAGAAACTTGCCTGCTTCTCTCCCTCTTTTTTATTTCTTGTGAAAGGACTGGAAGGAGTTGCTAATCATTAACAAGGTCTTTTGCCTAATGTTCTCTAAAATGCCTAAAAACAACTAAGAAATCTGTTTTTATTTTCCTTCCCAGAGTGTCTGTTTCATGGAAATGTGTTGAAGAGCTAACAACCCTTTTCACATGTGTGTCAATAAAGACCAAACACCCAAATCCAGAGAGGGAAAGAAAGGCATTGCTTGACAGAAGGCAATCTTCACTTGAGGACATTTCTGAACTATTCCTTGTTCCTATCAGTTTGTAGAGGTGGGTTAATTACTCTTCTATCAGGAAGTGCTCAGAGGCCTCTCACCAAACTTAGGGAAAGTTTTTAACCACCTAAGCTGGTTCAATAGGCAGTGTATTTCCCTTAGTCTGTTTATATTAAAAAAATGAAAAATTCCCTTTGCCCTATGAAAAGTTGGATCAGGATCTCAGAGACCCAGGCAAAATACAGTTCTTACAGAAGGCAGCGTTGCCACAGACGTGACAATCTGAGTCAGTTCAGCACAGACTTCACTAGTTCTGGAGGTATATGTAATCTACTTCCCTCAGGTTAGACAGGGAAGGGAACGCAAAACCCACCACCTGCCACTTACCTTTGCCTATGACAAGGCCGCACTTATCTGCTGGCACCGTGTATGTTATCTCCTGCATGCCACCAGGGGTTCCAACGCTCCAGTCGCCACGGCCACGACCTCTTCCTCTGGGTACTGCTAGGCCGCCAAAGCCGTCTCTTTCCTGGGAAGGAAGGAAGGCTCTTGTGATGACTTTTGTCATGACTACTAGTACCACTTTTCATCTTCCTCAAGGAGGTTAAGTGTTAAGATGCAATCAATGGCACATATTAGAAGACCCGATACCTCTCAACATTTCAAATTCTGAAGTGCTCTCTGAAGCCAGAATGAACACAAATCCCAGGTATACTGGAAGAAGGCATGTGTGGAAACAATGTGTGTGGTTACATAACAGCATACAAATATATCTATATTTGTGTCAGATATACACTCCAGTGTCTCAAGTCGGTCCAGCTACCTTTTCTATTGAGAGCTTTAATTACTGGCCTAATCTACAGGCATCAAGAGTTAGTTTTCCCTATGAGGCTGAGGCTGCTCCTCTTTCCTGTGGCTCTTGCATACTGGGACTATCAGAAGCCACATACTAGATGCTAAAGAACCGCAGGCATTTGAAAGTGGCATATTCCACTAGAAAAACAATTCAGACACTGCTGTCTAAGTCAGAATACTTTGCAAGCCAAACAGCCAAAACTATGAAAGGAATTAAAAAAAAAAAAAAAAAAACTTTATTGTGAACTGAATGAAGGTTTATACAGCAATCATCAGTTTTACGTTCAACAACTCACATACTCTGCGTCATTACATGGTGGCAATCCCCTCCACGTACCAACAGTTAACAGCATTTACCTCTATTCACCTAAACTACTGCATTCCTCCCTGTGTCTCCCATTACTTTTATCTTTCCTCTGTTTACTGTAACCTCCTTCTTGTTGGATATTGCCTGCTCCATCACCCATACTAACATGTGCCTACCCCCTAGCCCATGAATAATTTGGACAAAAGGATTTCTGAGGAAAAACTGTTTGTCCTACTCTCAAAAAAAGTAGACAAGTGTTCAAGAGTGACCACTCAAATCTAGTTCAGAAAGGAGGGAGTAAGGGAACAAGCCAGGGAGCTCTGGTAGCGTAGTGGTTATGAATTGGGCTACAATCCACAAGGTCAGCAGTTCGAAAATACCAGCTGTTCCATGGGAGAAAGATGAGGCTTTCTGCTCCCATAAAGATTTACAGCCTCGGAAACCCTGTACAGGGTCGCTGAGTCAGAACTGATTCCACAGCACATAACAACAACAAGGGAACAGGCCACATCCTCTTGCTCATGTTCTGGGGCTTGAAGGCTTCGCTGAATCATACACACACTGAAAGGCCACAGGGAGTAGCATGAATCTAACACCTAATGGAGACAGGTTCCTTTCATTCAAAGGTACAAGTCTCAGATGTTGAGGACAAATCATGTAAGTACTGAGTTGAACAGAAGTCCAACACAGTGAATAAATGTTTGGCGGAATGTTTATCCATAATCTACACCAACAGAGAAGAAAAATTAGAGAGGTTTTTCTCCTGCACTCTGCTTTTATAAGATAACCGACAAGTAAACAAAGTAATTTTAGGGATATATGTTGAAATACATACACAGATACACACAGAGCCAACTTTCTGGGTATGTCACACAGATTCTCCAGGACAAGATTGTCTCCCAAATATTTCATATCCTCTTGTTCTAGGTTCTTAAAACCATACTATTAGAAAGAAGTTAGAAGTCACGTTCTTAATCTTATTAGGAATTGCTACATTTCCTAAGCTTGTCTAATCATATACATTTCCTGAGACTTAAGTTACAACCTAAGCACTAGTTATTCAGATCCAGTAGTTCTGGGGTGGGAGTCTAAAAACCTGTAATTTTAGCAAGTACTGCCAGATGATTCTTAGGGGATCATGTAGTGAGCACTGCCCTGGTACAAAAAAAAGTTGGCGTTAAGGTCCAAAAGTTCACTCAAGGTCACATGGCTAATGGCAAAGCTAGGATGACAATCTTGACTCCCCATTTCCATTCTACTCATATTTCTTCTTTCAACACCAGTCATTCTCAACATTTCCTTGGCTCTACTTACCTGAGGGACCCTCAAGTTAACAAAGTTCACTAGAGCAACTCTTAATGGAGGTAGGTATACTTGATTTTTGAAACTTGGTAATCTGTATGGTATTTCACCAAATAGTTTAGAAAGTCAGAAATGTACTGTCAGGAACACATAGATTCTAGGAGTAATAAAGGCATGATGGTAATAATAAACCAGCAGAAGAGATGAAGGCATAAAAGAGGCACATGTGGAAAAGCCATGGGTTATAAACCTTTGTTTACAAGCAGTGGAGGGAAACAACTGACAAGAGTGCTGATGTCGATGTCCAATAATGCTGACTTGAGACAGTAGCTGCTCTGTGGTGCAGTCCCTTGAGAGCTCTTGCGTGGTGTTACCTTCCCTATCTGTAGGCTAGACGGTTGCACTACAGAGAGCAGCACCCACCTGGGCCGTCAGAATGAGCTCGCTGATGACATGTGCTGCATGCTGACACCGATCTGGAGGTCCCATGACCTGTGCAGCTCTCTCTGGACTAATTCCATCATCTACGGAACAAGGTGAGAGAAGGCGTTTAGTTTAGGAAAGGTCAACCTGATTTGCAATCAATACTCTAAATCAGTATCAGAAGGAGGAAAAACTTCAGATTCAGGGACTATTTTAAAGTGGTTTTGTTGATAGGGAAATGTGTGTGATTATATCTTTTTTTTTTTTCTTAAATGTTTTGATTACATCTTTTTAAATGTTTCACATCAGTACTCATTTCATATACAATTATAGCCACTTAAAAAAAAGAACTCACACTAAAGAAATAAAATAAAAACTCAAAGAAAAATCAACAACAACAAAAAACCAAGGAAAATAGAGTTGATCTATGCCAACAATTTCCAAAAATTAGCCCACTAATATTTTCTCGAGTTCAGAGAAATGATGAAGATAAAGACAATGTAGAAATTTTGGTTTTAAAGATAACACAACTTAAAGAACTGTCATTTGTTCTAAGATGTCCTTTTACTTTTTGTGGTTTAAAATTATCCTTAATTCTAATATATAATAATGTATTTCATAAATATATTGTTTATGAAAATGAAAATACATGGTGCATTTAAAAAAAAGTTCTTCCATGGCAAAAACAAGGAGCTCTGCTAGTGTAGTGGGTTATGCGTTGGGCTGCTAACCACAAGGTCAGCAGTTCAAATCTACCAGCGGTTTCTGTTGAGAAAGATGAGGCTTTCTGCTCCTGTAAAGATGTACAGCCTCAGAAACCCTGTACAGGGTCGCTATGAGTTGGAACCCAACTCCACGGCACGTAACCACCCCCCCACCCCAAGGTTTATAGCCTCAGAAAGCCCATATAGGGTCGCTATGAGTCGTTAACTGACTCCAATCCATGGCACACAAACACCACCCCGTGGTGAAAATAAAAGCTGGAAATAGTATGTTATTGCATTAGGCAAATCTGCTGCCCAAGACCTTTTAAAGTGTTGAAGAGCAAAGATGTCAGCTTGAGGACTAAGCTGTGCCTGACCCAAGCCATGGTATTTTCAATAACCTCACATGCATGCGAAAGCTGGACAGTGAATAAGGAAGACCGTAGAAGAATTGATGCTTTTGAGTTATGGTGTTGGAGGAGAATACTGAAAGTACCATGGGCTGCCAAAAGAACACACAGATCTGTGTTGGAAGAAGTGCAGCCAGAGTGTTCTCTGCAGGCCAGGATGGCCAAACTTCGTCTCTCATACTTTGGACATATTATTGGGAAGGGTCAGTCGCTGGAGAAGGATATCATGTTTGGTAAGGTGGAGGATCAGAGAAAAAGAAGAAGACCCTCAGCAAGATGGACTGGCAAAGTGACAGCATCAATGGGTCAAGCATGGCAACAATCATGAGGTTTGCCCAGGATTGGGCAGTGTTTTGTTCTGTTGTGCATAGGGTCGCTATGAGTTGGTATCAACTAGATGGCACCTAACAACAACAACAACAAGTGGAGGAAAAAAAGCCCAGAATCCCTTGGACTGGAGCATTTTGGCACAAAAAAGGTGGACAAGCTGTAGGGTGGAAACTAGGTAAAAAGATGTTCTGAGACGACAGAGGCAGGCAGAGACACAGAGAGAAAAAATGTAAATGGGTGAATACCCAAATGCATGTTTGGTCAGGTATTTTGGAGACCTGGTGTGGCACTATATGGATAAGCACTGGACCACAAGGTCGGTTTGAACCACAAGGTCGGCGATTCAAACTCACCAGTCGCTCCTTGAAAACCCTATACAGGGTGGCTATGAGTTGGAACTGATTTGACGGCACTTAACAACAACAACAACAACAACAACGTAACACTAAGGATTTATGAAAATCACTTAAACCAACCTGGTTTAAACTGAATCCTTACACCAGCATCATTCTGTATTTTTTTGATCATTTCTCCATTTCTTCCTATTACAATGCCAACAGCAAACCTAGGCACAGATACCTAAGCACAGAGAAACAAAACCTCAATAGAGCTTTTACAGAGTAGGTTTTTATTCTATTTCACCTCATCAATATAACAGACTGCTAAATTTGGTTCAATTACAACACAGGTTACCAGGAAATGCTGGATTTTGATCTGCAACTGGGAAGCAGGTTCATCTTGAAAGTAAAACCTTAAAGCCCTACCCTGGCTGCCCTCACCGTGGGTCAGCTCTGTGCTGGGGACCACATGAAACATGAGCACCATCCCACTCCATTCTTGCACCCACCCTGGGCAGTCAACAAACACTATATGGTCCTGAAGATAGTACCCAAGTTAAACAGCATGTTCAAGGTTAAAGAGCTAACAGAAGTGTGACCTACACCTTTAAATTGGATCTTATTTCCTTATTAATGTGTCATTAAAGCATACCTCTATACTGCCTCCTCCCATTCGGGAGCTGAAATCACTGCGTACACCCCGGAAATCAGCTTGGTCTTTTTCTCGGATGATTTCTAGTACCATTTCTCTAGCTTGCTGCAAAAACACAAGCAAAAAGGCATTACGAAAACAAATAAAAACTCTGCAAAAAGACACACCACCAGGTGAAATTTCAAGATTTTTCCCAATTTGAGCTTAAAGATTCAGCTGTGGGAGACTCATTTGCTGTAACTGTAACTCATTTGCAGGGGTGGGCTTGTGGCGAGGGATATATGTGTGTGTGTGTGTGTGCGTATATATATATATATATATACCAAATTTTAAATGTTATTGTCTAATTGTTTACAAAGATAAGGGTCTACCCACTTTTAAGCCACAGCGGGGTCAATACACTGTGCTTGTCAGAATAGGATTTTATCAGCACATCATTCTGGCAGGTTTCATCTACAATTCCTTCCAAAGAGTTCTAGGGTTTAGCAGCACTATAGTTCTATGAGTCGGTTCCGACTCCACGGCACATAACAACAACAACAACATAGTTCACAAGCTAGACTGTACAAGCAAAATGAGAGATGACTATACGCTATCTGATTTCAAGTTCACTTGTGTATATTAAAAGAGACTGGATACTTTATGGGAGGAAGACCCTTGGGTATGATCTTGGTTTGCAGGAAGGAACAAAGGGCTACATCACTGACCAGTGCCCAAGGAAAGAAACTTTTTATTGTGAATTGGGTGAAGGTTTATAGCTTTCCATTCAACAATTCATACACACTTTGTTTCATCTCACTGATTACAATCCTCACAATGTAACATCACTTATCCCACTATCCTTCCTATGTTTCCATTCCTCCTCCTTTTCTAATCCTTTGGACATTTGTCCTTGGGTATATGCTGCCCTGCTGATCGCAAACAGTTATTCTAAGGTGTTTCACTGTCCCACTAATAGACTTGTCTATTATTTAGCAGAACATTAAGCTATCAGGTGAGTTCATTTCCAGGTGTGAAAGGTGACTCAGGGCCATAGTCTCGGGGGTCCCACCAATCTTTACATCTGACCAGGTAGCTTGGTCTTTGTTATGATTGAGTTTTGTTCCACAGTTTCCTCCTACTCTGCCCAGGACTTTCCAATGTGATTCCTTTCAGAGCAGTTGGTTGTGGTAGCTAGCTACCATCTAGTTCTTCTGGTCACAAGGTCATGAAGACTGATGTCCATGTAGTGTATGAGTCCACTGGACTAACTGTAGAAACTATTTTTATAACTGTTCTTCAATTCTGTTTTTAAACTATCATTTTACATATATACCTTGATTTAAAACAAAAAACAAAACAAGTATAAAAACTACTAATTCTAACAACTTGAGGTTTTCTAATGATAGGGTTAAGGACTAGGAAATCTTTTGTCAGTGATGGCAATCTTCACTGACAAAAACCCAATGGGGCCAGCAATCGATGACAGACTGGCTCACCAAGGTGAGCATCCAGAACTGCTCTGGAAAAGCGGAGCCAGAAGAAAATAAAAGTGCATTCATACCCTGTTGGGAATAGACACACTCCTATATCCAGAACCCATTCACATTCCTGCAAATAAGAACTAGAGGGGTGGGACCCCTCCACTTCAGGTAATTTAAAACGACCTTTGGGGTTGTCTTCTCTGGCAGGGCATTCAGAACATAAGACACTACAAGGGCACACATGTCATGTGCTTTCTGTGGCTCTGGCACCCCTGCTCTCTAGTCACTGGACAACAGTTTGAGAACGAACATACAAGAAGCCGAAAACAGCTGGCATCTGAGCTGTCCACAGGTCACCAAATCTAAAACTGCACATGATCAGTGCCATCCAAACAAGCTGCTGTGATGAGGGAGATGTTCTGTGCGTACAAAGTCCGATACAGTAGCCACTACTGAGCACTTGAAATATGGCCAGTGTAAACCAGGAACAGCATTTTTATTTGAATTCTAATTGATTTAAACAGTCACACGTGACTAGTGGTTCCTGTATCAGGCTCTATATTCATTTCATCACCAAATATGGCTTGAGAAAACACCTATCTAAAATAAATGAACATCTAGCTTTATAATGAGTGAAATGAAAACTCGAGGCTACAACCAAGTGATACCCACACTCCTAGATCTGCAGGAATCCAAATTCCCTTTCCTACCTGTACTTTAAATGGGTCTCCAGTGATGCGAAGTGGCTTGTCTGCTCCTGTAGGCAATGGGCCATCCTGGATCATGACCATTTTCACACCTGTCCGCTCCTGTGCGGGGATACACACCAACTCAATCTTTCCTGTCACAATCCCTCACCTACAACTTCAAAACCCTAAAAGCTCTGCAACCAAAAGTTTGTTTGTATCTAATTTGGCAGCAAAAGGAAACTGAGCACATGTTAAGTACATTTCAAACTTGTCTTTCAGTGAGTGTGACTAATTTTGCGTTGAGCTGGTAATCCATGGAAATACAAATTAGATTACAGGATGCAGCCCAGGAGTTTGTTAAATTCTGCAATATTTGCCCTTAGTTTCTCAGACCCTTTTAGCAACTAAAGTCTATGGAGCACCTAGGCAGTCCTGGGCTCTGTGTGAAGGGCCTCACTCCCATTATTTCAGCCTAATTACCACAGGAGACAGGTATTTCCTCTTGTTTACAGCTGAGGACCCCAAGTCTTCAAAGAGTCTGTTTCATTATTTCAGATCACACCACTAATGAGACGGAGTGCTGAATTAGGGCACATGACTCTGGACACGTGCTTTTATCTGAGATGCTCTCATTTGACAGCAAACACTTGACATCACAGCAAGCCTAGCCAAGCTTCACTGTATGACTGCAGTTGAGGGGGCACAGGTATACCCTCCAGTGCACACTTGTCCTTTACTTGGCTCATAACTGGCATGATCCCTGACTACAGGAAACGTTAGAAAACATCTGTGGAGTGGAGGAAGGCAGACTCTCACAGCTGATGTGGGACCCATTTGGCAGAGGTTTTGAGTAGCCTCTCTACACCATGATGTGCACAGCCAGCCTGGGAAAGATCAGAGTTGGGACAAATCCTTCCTGACCAAGAGGAGGAAGACCTTTTTATGGACAATTGCTCTGCTCTGTTACAAGGCTCACATACCTGCAACTGCTTTATTGTCTCCCCTCCTTTGCCGATGACCAGACCCACTTTGGATGCTGGGATGAGAATCTCCTGGATTGTGCTGTTACCATCTATGTCATTATGAAAGCCAGGTCCATTCCGACAGCGGTCCACAATCTGCCCCAGGAGCCGTTTGGCTTGTCTTTGGGAGGGAAAAGAACCACAAAAAAAAACCAGCATTAAAGGAATGCTCTAGGAACTCCAGAAAGGGAAACAGTACCAAGGAAAAAACCCGAAGGAGTCAAGGTAGCCCTCCATCCAGCTCCAGCTCCTGCCCTTGTGACCTGGGAGGTCTTTTTGCCATTCGCCACACTACGAGGCTGGAATTTAAAAGCAAAGCACACCACAATACCAATGTTCCAACATGGTCTTGGGGAGCAGGTTACCATCAGACAGAGCCCACTCTCAACAGCTTGCCCTTGCCCCTGCTTAGGTTTTGTATTCATTCCACAAATATGTGTCATCTTCGATTAGAATGTTAGCTCCTATGGGCAGAGCCCACCTTTTTTACCTTTGTGTATCTTTCTGTTCCAATCCAGCACAATCCTTCTCACAAGGTATATACTCAATACATGTTTGTTAGATAAGGGAGGAGAGAGAGCAATGAGAGAGATGGGAAGGAATAAAGCAAGGGTTAGTAGTTATTATCTGAACTCTGAAATTATTATTTCTTCTCCAAAACCAACCAAACTGCTCTATGACTTTACAGCTAAAGCTATGAATCACCAGAGTTTGGTTTATGCAGTGGGAAAAGGTGGAGGAAGTGCTCTGAGACAGTTATATACTCCTATCTGTCTGCTTTGTGCCTTTGTCAGCAAATTCAGAATCCCATATTTTATAGGGAGTGTGATTTCAAAATGGCTTCTGTGTTAATTTAGTGGGGGTAGGAAGGGCGGTGGCGCTGGGATGGGGGCTGCAATGTGGAAACAACACAATCCAGCCTCTACCATTATCATTTGTTGCGCCATATTCCTTTTCTGCACCAGAATCTTCCCTGGCTGTTATTTGCAGTGTTTATTCTTCAAATGACCACACACAACCTGTTTTTTGTTTTCCCTTTAATAGGGAAGAATTCACCCACTAAGCAGACTGACTATACTGCTCCTTGAGGAAAGTTGAACTGTTTCCTCCTAAAGTTATCATCTCCTTGCCTCAGCCCCTTGGGTAGAACATGAAGCAGGATGGTTATAAGAATAGGAAGAGTGAGAAAGGCAGGAATAGATGTTGCCTTTTATAGTCTTGAGCCTCTGTATAGAGAATCAGCCTTGCGTATCTTCTCAGTTACAGCAGCTTTTTAATATTTTGCTTGTGTACTAGATTAACCTGTGTTGGAAGAAAAATGCCTTGACTCCAGCAAAACCATCCAGCTTGCCCTATAATGCACACCTGCCAGGGATATTTATTCTGGTTCACTGCTTGCAATGTTACAGCAGAACAAGAGAATTTAAACTCATCTAGAGTCCCTGAGAAATGGAAACAATAAAACAGCCCTACCTATTGAGCCAGACATAATCTTAGCACCCCTGGCCCTAAATGCAACACTACTCAGTAGATTGGAAAAGAAAAGCAAGCAGATTCTTAGTATATCCCTTTTCTCCAAGAAGTTCTTGAATTTGAGGGTTTGCATCTTGTACAAGACTCTGAATGTGTGTGTAGCAGGGTAAGAAAGCACTGTCAGTCTTAGGTCCCTTGCAAGGTCCTCAAAAGTTATGGCACCCTTCTGGCCAATCCTTATATGGCCCTCTGGAGAGGAGCAACAGCCTTGTAAAGTCAAGTCAATTTGGTTCACAAATTATCAGATGGGTAACTGAGTCAGCCCCAGGCAGAAGACCTGGTACACCAGGATACTAAATGGTTTACAAAGTAACAGACTTACTAATTAAGACCTGCTCAGGTAAAGGAGGTGTTAACAAGAAAGAATTAAGTTGATTAGAACATCAGATGGGCTGAACATATACTCTTGAGAACCTCTTTATGAAGACAATGCAGTGACTGACTACCCATTAAGAAGACAAGCACAAACTTACTTGTCCTTACTTACTATAGTGAACACTTCCACATGTTTTCAAATCCAAGATGTGAAACTCATGTGAAATTGCTCACTACAGATTAGTAAGCACAAGTAAGCCCATGCTTGTTTTGCCTACTGGATAGTCCACCCTTGAGTAGATGTTACAACAGTTGTGAGCAATTCTGAAGTACTTGGGGTAAGGGTTGATATCTTGTATGTTTGAGGGAACAGAAAACTCCCATGGTGTGGCAGCCTCCCCGATCTCCTTCTATATATAAGCACCTGCTTTTGTGGTCAGGACTGCAGCATAGATCAACAGTATTTAATAACAGCTCTGCCCTTCCCTTTCTCCCCACTTGGGGAAGGAGGAAGAAGAGTGAAAGGAAAAAGTAAATAAAATAAACTTACTCAATACTTTCTGGGGTTCCGGTAAGTACACAGGGCCTCTCTGGAATCCCAGAACTCTCTATAAGAAGAATCAAGAAGATGAGGGGTGTTGGGTTGCATCAGGCAACTGTGTGTCTTTGCCTCTGTGTACAGACTGTCTTTCTGTGGCTGGTTTCTAAACCGGTCCTACAGAAGCCCAGTCTCTCCCAGAAAAAGACAGCTTGCTTCCATTTGTGGAGAGACTCAAAGTAGAAACATGTCCAACAGGGGAAGCTGGGTAAAACCCAGCAGAGGTGTGTGAGCTGGTCCGAATCACCAGGCTCAGCATTATTTCTGCCCCACGGATTTGCTATTAATTGCTTGACTCACTATACCATGCTAATCTTTGGTTTCACCATTTGTAGACTGGTTTGATGCTAATTTGTTTGCAAATGGCTCTGAGGAAAACTAATAAAGAATTTAATGATAGGCACATTAGGATTTTTACCAGTTATTGCATAAATATCCCAAGAGATCAGTGACATCTAAGTAGTATTGGTTCTGAACCATTTTATAAGAGAAGCATCTCATGTTCTAACATCACACATTATGCTTTACTTTGTTTTTTAAAAAAAACACAAAAAACATCACTCTTACAATTTTTCCTCAAGAAAAAAAAAAACTGAAAGGGAAATAGCTAAGAGCAATAACTGCCTTCAAGACAATAATTAATAAGTATCTTTTAAAATGAAAAACGTTTCTTTAGTCAAAAAACATCCTTTCCCACTATGGAAAAAGGTGAAATCTCAAATATGATGACACAACTTTAAATAAAATTAAAACTCTTCTTCTTCGGTCCATAATTGTCCACAGAGAATGGCCAAAACAGACCCAGCTAAGAAGGTCCTAAAAGTGTCTAGTTTGTGCTAATTTAGCTAGAACCCTCCCAACTTTCCCCTTTCCACAAAGGGAAGGAAGGATCGAATCCAGGGGAGTCACTGTGTAGACCCCCAGTGGTCACTCCAAAGCCACAGGATTCCTTCAGACCCTACAATGTCTGTGTAGCATTCTGGTGCAGAAAACAGAGATCCTCGAATAGCAAGGGCTTTGGAAAGGCGTGCACCTGGCTACAGAACTGTGGGACGGTCTACCTATGAAGCCAGATGGTAGGCCTTGTCTCTGGGCCTGTGTCTGCTCTAGTTTTTCTGGTTCTCACCTGGGAGTCCAGTCCCGGAAGTACAAGGAAAACAGCAATTGAACATACTTACCCAAGTCCCTATACTTCTAAAGCAACAAGCAAAGGTTTTCAGTCTGGAAAATGCTGTAAAAACCCAGATTTCCATCAAATTAAGATGTATGAAAAAAGAAGTCCTTACCTGAAGCAATCTGAATTTTGCAACCAGATTCTGCTTGAATCCGTGAAATCTGCTCACCTCCCCTGCCGATAACTGAAACAAATAGAACAAGGTGAGAAAATGAATCCCCTTAATTCTATATTTAACCACTCATGAATGAATCAATGAATTCAACAAACATTTATACTTGCATAACCAATCAAATTGGCCCCAGTAAGCCCGCCTTACCTCTTAGGCACTAAAACAACAGAACATTTAAATGAAACACAGCAGCTATAAGGTACTAGGCTAAAATGTGGAGAGGAATTGGGGTCGGGGTGGGGGGTAAAATGGCCCAGAGCTTGCTCTGGTCTCTCCCTCAGCTTACAAACAGTTTTGCAGTGCTTCATGGCTCTTGGGAGTACAGGCTGAAAAGCAATCTACCACAGGTGGCACAAGGAGACAAACTTAAAACAAATAAAAGGAGGCCAAAATTAAGGAAAAATATATAATATGGATACTCACTAAATCCAACCATTTTATCAGGCACTTTGAATTCTTCTGTTATTACTGCCCTGAAAACAAAGAACATATTGGAGGAAAAAAATTAATTTTCTGCCATTTTAGGTTCCCTTACATCCCATTTGACAATATTTGCAAATAAAGACTTAAATCGTACCAACTTGGCTAACAAATTTCAAACCATCTAGAAAAGAGTACCATTTAATGAGTGCACTCATTGGTTAAGGCCTTGGAAAGATTTAACCTTTCTGTTTCTTCTAGTTTCTTATGAAATCAACTCTAATAACTATCCTTTTTTCATGTACCTAAGGAGCTCTGGCAGCGTAGTGGTTACAAATCAGGCTGCTAACCTCAAGGTCAGCAGTTCGAAACTACCGCTGTTCTGCGGGATAAAGATGAGGCTTTCTGCTCCTGTAAAGATTTGCTTCAGAAACCCTGCACAGGGTCACTATGAGTTGGAACTGACTCCATGTTACTTAACAACAACAACAACAACAACAATCTGTTGTGGCGCTGTAGGATCAGCACTGTAGTGCGAACCACAAGGTCGGCAGTTCAAACCCACCAGCTGCTCCTCGGAAACCCTATTCAGGGTTGCTATGAGTTGGAATTGACTTGACAGCACTTAACAACAATCTTAATTTTGTAAACCTGGTGTGGCACTATAGGATAAGCACTGGATTGCAAACCACAAACTTGGGTGTTCAAACCCACGAGCCTCTATTCAGGGTAGATGAGTCAGAACTGACTTAACGGCACTTAACAACAACAGGCCCTTTCAAATAAATGGGTCCTCAATCTCAGGACACTTAAAAAGATCCTTTGGGGTTTATGAAGATGTTTAGACTTCTACCACAGTGCCTTCTCTAAATGAAGAGATTAAGCTTTTCTACAATATGCCTTGTTTCCCAATCTTTTTATTGCTTTCTGGCTTCCCTCTAATTTATTTATCTTTTAAAGGTGAGACACCCAAATGGAACCAGTAGCCAATGGAGACCTAATCAGTGTTGACCAGGACAGAATAATTACCTCACTTACTCGGCAAGGTACTTCTGTTAAATGCTGTCTCATCCATTATGTGCCTTTTTTTAAACAATCACTATACAGGTTCTTTCAAACAAACCTTCAGATTTCCCATACAGTGTATTGTGGACAATATCCAATTTGTCCAACACCCCAGAAAGCAATTAAATCTAAACATTTACCTTAGGAGGAAGCTAAATGCAAGTAGTTAAAAAAAAAAAGAAAGAAAAAAAAAAAGGCAGGCATTTTTAAACATCTCTCACACAGCTGGATTTTTACCCATCATGGAAAGGATTGAATAAAGTACATGTTTTTTAAGGAAAGTGCAGCACTTAGAAGAAATGCAATCGCATAAATAGCACTTGCCACTGTATCATTTTGATGGGAGCAAACAGAGAATCTTCTTGTGGAGTTTACATCCTCCAGTTTATATATGTGGAGGGATTCTCTTTCTCCCTGAAATATGCAGGTTAACCGTGAAATCAGGTAATCCCAGCTATCCTAGTCAGTAACACATCTGTGGACACTGACCCCAAATCTTGGCTTGCCTGATACTTGTATATACTAGACACTGGGTTCCCTGTTGAAGTGTGTCCCTTTACTGTTGTGAAGAATAACATGTTCTTGTACGTGTGTGCTCCAGGGTAGCCATTAGGCTGCTGGTCACATGTGTAGCACAAACTACCTACTTTCAGAAAACATTCCTGAGGAGTTTACTAGAAGGTGTTTATCACTAAAGCAATACAAAAGGACACATAATTCAGGCAGCTACCAGCCCTTGGGAACATTTTAGCAGACTCCCTTTGAGGAAAAAACAACCAAGAAGAATTGCTTTGGGTTTCATGGAAGACAAGGCCCTATTGTAAATGCCAAGGCTGAAACCTGTCCAATGCTCAGAGTACAAATGTTCTGAAAAGTAAAATCCCAATGAAAGCAAAATCCTACTAGAGGGTAGAGAGCATTTTTTGATAATGACAACGATTTCAAGTTTGAATTATTTTAATTCATGAACACAAAACAGCCCCCTCCCCTCGCCCCCAAAAGACCAACAGAAGAAAACAACAACAAAAAAAACCTCAAGATAACTCTTTTGGTCAATTAATGCCTGGTGATTTCTTGACACCCTCTCCCCCCAAATTTGTGTAGAACTCAAGAGGACATTAATTATATAATTAGTAGCTAGGGATATGTTACAGTAACAGATACACAGCACAAGAGTTTATCCATTATAGAACAGAAAGAAGCTCTGGTATAAAGAGCTTCCTGTGTATTTTATTTTTTTGAAGGACAACACTGATCATAAATTTCCTATGTTACAGACTTTCTAAAGCTAAGAGATCTTTGTTGTTAAGAGCTGTCTAGCTGTTTCTGACACAAAGCAGCCCTGTATGCCCCGAGGCTGTAAATCTTCATGGGAGCAGAAAGTCTCTGATTCCTAAATCCACAATGTTTATTATCAGAAGGCTGGAAGTGGAAAATGAGGCAGGGAAGAATCATTTGGGAACTTTCCCAATGTTCTCTGATATGCCCCAACCACTACAGCAAGTGGGGGAAGCCTGGACTGCTGGCTTCCCAAGCCCATGCACTCCTTATGGAAAAAACACCTCAGACATTTCCTCAGGACTTCTTCACTTTTTTTTAAATGAACACAGTTAAGGATTCATACAATACTAGGAAACCCATAAAACCAAAAGGGATAATTTCATATTCTCTCCTTCGAAATAAAATGCGTATCAGCAGAAAGAGTGACTCCAACATTACTAAAATCTTTTAAGTTTGCATATAATAATCGCTGCTTTTTAATACCTATATTAGTTTATCCTTTGAGTTCATGCTGCATTGAAAAGGGTTAGCAAAAAACTTGAGTCTTAAAGAAATATAGCCCATGGTTTTTCACACTCTCAACCTCTGACTTTCTAACACTCTAGTACAGATGGCGGATCAATAAACAATTAGAAATGATCAATAAATAATAAAACATAACCCACTGCTTACCTTTGATGTACCAAGGCCCCTAACTGGTTACCTACTGTGGCAAAGAGAAGGAGAAAAGAAAAATCAAAGCATTAGCACGGATAAACTAACTTCATCCTTATACGAGTTCTTACCGTTTCAGGGGGGAAAAAAGACAGAAAGAAAGCAAACAGTAATTTAGGCTCAGTGGCTGAAATGAATGCGTTATATGATATGAAACAGGAGGGGACATCTTGATCAACACAGTCTCTAACCCAGTGTCCAGCTGAACGGAGGATAAGAAATTGATCTGTGTGTTCACATGCTGAGAGGCCTGGGAGAAAATCCTGCTTGCCTAAATCCCTCTAACTTCCCACCTCCCTCCTACTCTCCCCCCATCCAAACTCAATGTGAAGATAGAGAGGGTTCCTTCTTTTTCTTTTTAAAAACAAATGAGAAGATTTAACCTCCTCAGAAGCATTGTTAAGGATTGCTCCATGGCAGCTGTAGTCACTAAGAACATGCACATATGTTCCCACTGGCCACTGGGGAGGGAACATCCCTCCCACCTCCTCGCCCCCACCAAGAGCATAAGTATCTCAAGGAGAGTATCTGGCCTCCTCCCTCCTAGGGCCTCTCCACTGACCCCACCCACCAAGGCAGACTGTATGCAGTGATCACTAAGCATGAGCAACTGCCTTTCAAGTCCATTTCACAGGGGACAACAGTGCCAAACAGCCTCTTATTATTAAAACTGACTGTAATCACATTTCCTCAAAACCACTTTAGCTATGCCTTTTGTTTCAGTTTCTCCTCTTTAAGCTATTGATGAGTGTCTCCTTCACCAGCCATCAGCAAAAATGTGTTTCTCTTCTGGAAAATGCAGTTCAGGAAATACAGTCAGCAACAATTAAAAGTATAAAACCAAACACATTACAAAGCAAATAAATGAACCTTAAAATATGCTAAAAAGAGCACTCACAAATATATCTTTGGGGAAAGTTGTTATAGGAATGGATTTGAGGTAAACAGGAAAGAACCAATTACATCAACTTCAAGACAGAGTGAAGTAACTGGATGGCTTGTATAGACGTACCTTGTTTTACTGAATTTTCAGATACTGTATCCCACCCCTCCCTTTAAAAAACCAAAAAATAAATTGTAGGTTTGTGGTTACTTGTATCAAGAAAACCTACTGGCACCATCTCCCCAACAGCACATGCTTCTTCATGTCTCTGTGTCACATTAATGTTATGAGAATTACCAAGTTTCAAACTTTTTCATAATGTTATCACACACTTAATAGACTATTATTATAGTATAAACATAATTTTTATGCACTGGGGAAAAAATTTTGTGTGACTTGCTTTACTGTGGTGATCTGTAAGCGAACCCACAGTATCTCCCAGGTATGCCTGTATAGGATTCCAACAGCTATTTTTCCTGTTCAAACTTAACCTTGTTACTCTCTGACTTGGGCAGTAGCTGTCATGAAAGGACAAAGAAAAGAAATCTGATCATGACATTTTAAAAGGAAAAGAAAAAGCATAGAGAAATAATGCCAGCAAAAAGTAAACGAAGCTACTCAGTCAATACTGTATTTCTTCTGGATCAATAGCAAGATAATGGTCTGCAGCCAAAATATTGACTTGATATACTATTAATCTGCTTATCTCAGGGATAAGAGAATTGTTTTTTATTGACTCTTAACATTTTCTTTTTGCATATCCAGTTTGAATATAACCAATGCTCTTGCTTGGGGTAGATAGTGTGCATGATTTTCTTTTCACATGAAAGCTGGGCAATTACCAGCTTAGGATAGGAATCCTCCTCATACACTCAGTCCCTGAAGGAAGTGGGGCACTATCTAAGGTAAGGGTATGCAAAAACATACTCAAAGTGGATATCAACTGGCACAATTGATGCTTGACTGTATGTTCCTACTAAGGGACCTAGCTTTCCTGAGTGCTGTCCCAATTCCTCTCTTAGTGGATAAAGAATCCGTAGAAGACAAAAATAAATTGTCTTGAAATGATGAGAACACAAAGGAGAGGCATGTATTCACCAGGGAGGGTAATGTGATTGGGCCTTGGCTACTGATCCACTGTGCTGTTTGGTAAGAGATATCAAAAGGCTGATGATGATCTTCAACTATTTCTGTTCTCAGTCAGAAAAGCCACAGACAGAATTTAACAGCAATGCTACATAAAGAACTTCATGAGAGTCACAAGAACATTCAGAAGACTTCTGTTCAAAAACCATTAGAAAACAGCTCATCACAAAAATGGAAATTCCTTTTGTTGGCAAAGTACATGTCACAGGTGCAGCACACACAGAATCATTTTTTACAGCCAACTGCTTTGCTGACAAGTGGAGGTGCTTACAAGATTTGAAAATAAAAGTGCACACACCATCATCCCACAAATAGCCGAACTGCTGAGAGTCACACCGAAGAATGAAATCAAATTCAAATCCAGATTCAACTCTTTGAATTGGTGGACTCTTAAGAAAGAGGAATCATCTCCCTTCTCCATGCAAATGGATGCAGCCCAACGCATGATTTAAAGTTTCATTCCCTTCAGATACATTTCCATTTGGTGCCTAAAAATGAAAACCAGCAGTTAGATAAGGGGCACTGGGCACTCATACAGCAAACTGATAATGTCCAACTCCAGGAATAGGAGACCTCTCCTTAGTCTTCATGATGGAGAGAGGTCAAATGAGGGAGGCATATAGGAACACCTATCAAGTTCAATTTAATGGTAACTACAGTCATTTTACTGTAAAAAAGGAAAAATGCTGAATAAAATCAGTCCTATTTCCCGTTAATGGTTCATGCTGGTTGACAATACTTCATCTTGCTTCAAAAGTTCACCTTAGTTGAAATTCTAGCACAAGCGCGTATACACGCGCATACACACATGGAGTTTCCATTTCATTATCTTGCACGCTATAGAATAGGGAGCTGTCTGGGTTATGAAAAAATGAGCCATCCACAAATAAAAAAAAGTTCATCCCACAATAAAAGAAATTCTTTCTGAAGAGTTATCCTTTGTCAATTTCAATAACGAGCTTTTAAAAAATAAGATAGCCAGACATTTTTTTCCTGCTAGTGTGAAAAGTCTTCATTTTTCTTTCCCCAAAGAAATTTAAGTATCACTACAAAATATATATAACTTTATAATCCCATCAATTTTAACAGTTTCACTGCCCGCCCCCACAAAAAATACAAAATACAAAAACACCAATAGCTCCTCACAACAGCACACCAACAGTATGTGCAGCACCATATTCAGAACAGCAGACTAAAGTCAGGGTGTCAGTGCGGAAAACAGCAACCATTTTCATAAGTCTGGTAAAAACAAATAAATAAACCAAACCTTCCCTTTATATTTTGAAAACGATTCTCCGCAACTCCCTGTCCCCCCACCCTCCCTTTCTTTAGATTCAGGCTCTTCTGAGACTCTGATCAATGCCTTCCAAGCCCCAGCTATGGAGTGGAATACTCAGTTAGCTATTGGGATTGCTATATTTTCAAAGCATTTTTTAAAAAAAGTTTACTCCCAGAGACAATACAAAAGCTTCCGGTGTTCTACAATAGCAACTCTTGCTCATGGCCACAAAATGCTGAGTGTTAAGTTCAGCCTGAAAGCTCTTTGGCAAATACTCTTGTCATAATTTTGCAAATAATTTTTAAAAACTAAGAGCAAATTCAAGTTGATGTCAATAATGCCACTCTCATCTGTTGTTGTTGTTATGTGCCGTGGAGTCGGTTCCGACTCATAGTGATCCTGTACAGGGTTTCTGAGGCTATAAATCTTTACGGGAGCAGAAAGCCTCATCTTTCTCCCGCAGAACAGCTGGTAGTTTCGAACTGCTGACCTTGCGGCTCGCAGCTCGATTCATAACCACTACACTACCAGAGCTTGTAGTCTGACATATTTTTGAAAGGAAACTAACAGGACAGACCCTGGATTGCACATCACAAGGTCAGCTGTTTGAGTCACTCTCCATGAGAAAGGCAAAGCTTTCTGCTCACACAAAGATTTACAGCCTTATTCCTGCAGAGCCTCTGCACTATATAAGATCATAGGTGGAATCCTGAACCCCATCCAGAATCTTCTAAGGTGGGAAATCTCCACTTGAAAGGACAAGCAGACCAGCCTGAAGCAGACAGAAGAACATAAGATACTTCTTAAGCAGACATGCAGTCTGACAGGTGACCACGTTAGTCACTGATAAGGGGAAGTGAGGGAAAAACAGCAATGAACCTGTGAGCTAAGTCCTATCACGTTCAATAGACTCCTGTGAACCTGGGTGGAGACCTGGATGACCAGCAGTGTGGCAAATCCAGGGGACTCCTGGGCCCAGAGTCAGTAACATAGCCACAGAAGGCTAGAGTGGAGAGTGAAGCATCCAGTTGATAAGAAATGAGGGCATATGCACAAGAACACCCACACATGCAGAAAATACCCACTTGACCTGGCTTCAATGACTGGATGATCAGAACTCAACTAGAAGAAGAAAGAAGAAAAAAAGGGTAATCTCATACAATTTGATAATCCTGACCCATACTTATGGATACAGTAGAGCTCAAAAGAGGGAACAAATCTTTACAGCAATCATTCCCACACCCTCGGTACACAGGGTAAACAGGGATGGGCAACTCGGTTACCCAAAACGGGGGGGTGGGGGTAGGGGCTACAAAGGCAAGAAGTGGCTTACAATCTTTCAAGAGGGAGCCTAGATCCAGAGGGTGTGCAGGACAGTAGTACCCAATCTGTCTGGGCGGGGCTGATGAAAGGAGATGGGGATAGGACTCTTGTGGTACAATAGTGAATAATTGTTATCAGGACTGTGAGGGTTGGAAATGTAAAGGTAGACGTTTTGTAAGAAAAGGAGGGGAGCGGTTAACTTTGCAGTCTAGGAGCGGAGGCACCTGGGACTATCAAGGGAGAAAAGTGGAGTGTGGGACCCTACCCAGAGAAACAGTGATGCCAGAGATGGAGGTAGCGATGGTGACGTGGAGAGATGGAATGGCTGTGGACTCTAGACCCAGAGAAGGAGAGGGGCTGT